ATGCCTGCCCTCAGGCTTCCACAGTTTGCCACTGTGTAGCTGCCCCAATTTTATCATTAATAGTTTTAAATATACATGTTTGCCAATAGAACATACAACTTATTTTTAACAGTGGCATAAATCCATAGTATGGGTGTATGAGAACTGTTCCAGCCATTTATTCATTGGTTAGCATTCAGTTTATGCTTGGTTTTGATTTTCACAATCAATGCTGCAATAAACACCCATATTACAATTACATATATCCAATTATATACAATGTAATGATGCCTTTATTTCTTTTGAAGGGCAGGTTTTTTTAAAGCAGGATTTCTGACTCAAGATATATAGATAGATATAGATATATACACATATATATGGTTTAATTTAATAAATTCATCGGATTACTTCTAAGAGGGCAGATTTCCCTACATCTTTACCAACATTGAATTTTAAGTCTTTTAAAATTTTGCCAAGCTGATAGGCCAAATAGTTTGATATTACTGATTCAATTTGCTTTCCTCTGGCTCTTCTGCTAGCGATGGTGAGCATCCTTACATATGCTTATCGACCATTTGCATTTCCACCTAATAATAATTGCAAATATTAGAGTCAGGCACTGCAATGTGCATTCTCTCATTTGATTCTCACAACAACCCTACCAAAAAAGATAGCATCTGCTTCCCTCCCTCCATTTTACAGATGAGAAAACCATTTCCAAGAGACAAATCACACCTTCGAGATGATGCTATTTCTAAAGAAAAGTAGTACTACCTTGAGTAAACAAAAACCACCAAATAGACGCATCCCTACCCATTCGTCCTCACTAACCCGTTTCTCCATTCCCCAGGTGTGCTCACCGGCCCTGGTACTATCCACCAGGTGGTGCTGAAGCAGGTGATCACGCTCCACTATCCGAAGTCATTCCCAGTGGAGCCATAACACCCTTGGTTTCCCCTTGTCTCCAAAATCGCGAGCTGTCAACTGACTTCATGCTTAATATGCAAACCTAAACTCTGCGGGTGTCGCACCGGGTGCCCTGCCATTAATCTTTTGACCGATCCCTCCCCTTGGCCACTGTCACCACCTATGTATGCCTTAGAGACATGCCAGTTACCTGTGACAGGATTAATAGCTCATCCTACAAGATCTGTGTAAATATATGTGATTCATTACACGGTGTCATTCTTGAGACAAGGATATGCATAATGGAAATAAACACCCATGAGAAGATGTAGCCCCTTGAATATATATTGGTTATTTTCTTTTTCTTGCACACATTCCTAGTTCAGCATGGCGTACAGTCCACATTAGATGGAATTGCGCCTTCCCTCAGCCATGTCCCCTAAGCTTTGGAAAGACATGTTTCCTGAGATTAAAATCACTGGCTAACGGTTTCCAGCCCCGCTTCCCGTCTCCCTTTCGCCTCTCAGCCTCCTCCTGCCTGGTTGGGGCTCGATCTGCAAGCAATGGTATCCGCAGTCCTTCGCTGACAGAGGGGGTGTCCAGATTTCGAGGTGTCGCCCTTTGGTGTAGTGCCACTTAAACCCAGGACCTACCCCCTCCCTCCCAATCCTCTCCTCCCCCCGCCCCGCGCCGCTCTAGGAGGAGTCAAAATGTCCTCTTCCCCAGCTGGAGGGGATTGTAGTGCGTAAACAGGATTAACTCTCTCCCACCCAGCTGCGCTGAGCAGCCCGCGGCCTGCGGGCCGGAGCGAGCCCCTTGGTGCGCGGAGGGCGAGGCACGGGAAGCGGGGGATGGTGGAGCTCGGGACCTCGGAGCTGTCCCTGGGGCACGCTTCCTCGCCAAGGGGGGCGGGGGGGTCACAGCCTCGGGAGCTGCTCCTCGGAAGCCGGGGCTGACGGCCGCGACGGCTCGGGCTCCTAGCCGCAGCCTCTCTCCACCACCTCCCTCTCCCTCCGCTCGCTTCCTCTCCGCCCACCGCGCTCTAGCCGCCGGGTCGCAGCCAGCGCAGTCCTCCGCCCCCCCCCCCCGAGCCGCCGCGCCCGCCCTCCCGCGCCCAGCCATGGGGGACCTGCCGGGCCTCGTGCGCCTCTCCATCGCGCTGCGCATCCAGCCTAACGAAGGCCCGGTCTTCTACAAGGTGGACGGGCAGCGCTTCGGCCAGAACCGCACCATCAAACTGCTCACGGGCTCCTCCTACAAGGTGGAGGTGAAGATTAAGCCCACCACGCTGCAGGTCGAGTGAGTGCGGGCGCGCGCAGCGGCTGACCGGCCCCACTTGGGGTACGCGGGGTGGACCGAGGCCCCCGGGACAGCCTGAGCCTCTCCTGGGCACCTCTTGCCTCGCACCGCGCCCAGCGGGCCCAGGAGGTTGGCGGGGAGGAAGTGGGGGGCGGGTATAAGGTCAGCTCCCCGCACCTTAGGTCCCGTCCTCTGCCTTACACTACTGTCTCCGCTGTTCTCGCTTCCCTCCACGTCTCGCGGGGTGGGATGTTTAAAACAGCGACAGGAAGCCAGGGGTTGGGGGCTTTTTCTTTCCTTGTAGAATTTTCATCCCTTATGTGCAGCCATCGGCGCGGACCCGCAGGCGGCCGGGGTGGGGCAGAGGGGACAAGCTCGCCGCGGGGTTCACTTACCAAAATCTCGGTCCTCTGCCCCGTTCTGTGAGGCTGAAGGAAAGAGAAAGGCTGAGGAATGAGGTGTAAAGTCGGGGGCGGGTGATTATTGGGGCTTCCTGAGGGATGCTCCCCACTCCTCCATCAACCCTTATGAGCCTGGGACCCCGGAACTGGAAGAGCACGACGGAAGGCAGCCTCCTCTGCTTAGGCCTAGTTTCCCGGTTTTCCTTGCCTGGTGTTTTTCTTTTTCTCCCGAATTGTCTGTTCAGCCTGGTGATTAGCAACATCCTGACAACAAAAGGATGGTTTTTTTATACTTATTTATTCGTGGCAGGTTTATCTCTTCTCTGCTACCAGAGGTTGATGCATCCAGTAGGCTCTGGCTGGCAAGTCAGTGTAGGAGGGTGCAGTAGCTTATGGGGAAGTATCCAGGACTGGAACCCTTTACCTCTCAGCTTCCACGTAAGCATGGTGTAAAGTCCAGCGTGGAAAGAGGAAATAAACCATCCTGTACTGTATCTACCTTTGGCTGAGCTTGGGAGGTGGGGTGGAGAGGGCTTTGAATCCACCTGACACCTTTTATAGCTTAAGTGTCCTCCAGTAGTTGTTAATTCAACAAACTTGTATTGGCCTTCTAGATGCCAGGCTCCAACTGAACGACCTAAAGCCAAACCTGAGTTGTGTCTAATGCTCTTGGTCCATTTACTTGTCCCCATCACTGATAGCTCCAAGCACCCGTTATCCTCACATTCCCCAATGTTCTGTGCATCTGGTTATAATGCAGACTTTTTCTTTCCCTTCTTTCCTGGCAAAACCCCTTCTACCAAGTTATCTGTTCTATTTCCTTCAAGATAGTTCTCTATTTTTCAAGTTAATGTAAAAACAAATTTGTGTTAATGATAAAACTATTTTTTTTGTTACACTTTAATTTTATCAAAGTTTTTCAGTGCCCTAACCCAGTGGTTCTCAAACTTGAGTCTACATCGGAATCACCTGGAGGGCTCGTTAAAACACATATGGCTGAGCCCCATCCTAGATGTAGTAAACTCTAGTTTACTATATCTAGAGTGGAGCTTAAGAATTTGCTTTCTGATGGTTGGCAGGTGATACTGATACTGCTGGTCCAGGGATGACACTTTGAGAACCATTACCCTAACATGAAGAAATGATGCCAGTGAGAATTTTTGGTGTGTGGCTGGCTTGAGGAAGAGTACCCCAAATTATGGGACCCCTGATTGTTGGAACAGAAGAAAAAAACCATTAGAGAACTAGTTCAGTGATTCTCAATCCTACCTGTGCATTAGAATCACCTATGCAACCTTAAAATAAATTTTCTAGTGCCCAAACCACACCCCAGACCAACTGAATCCTATTCTCTGGGGTTTGAGATGGGGTGGGTGTAGGTAGGTTTTTAATAGCTCCACAGATGAGAAACTAAAGAGGAAGACCATTGACAGAGTATAACTCAGCCTTGTGCAAGTACTTTGGATGAGAATATTGATGTCAGTCCAGAGAGATTAAGTAGTTGACCTAGGGTCACATGACTGGTTAGCTGGGTAAGTCAAGCCCCCTAAACTCTCAGAACTTTCTGCCACACCACAGTGTCTCTGTTAGCCACACCCTATGGGGTTTTTGCCTGGAGTTGTGGTCCAGACCAGGACAGGGTGCCTAAGCTAATTCCTACCATATGTGGTCAACTCAAGTCCATTGCAGGAACATTTCCATTGGTGGTGTGCTTGTCCCGCTGGAACTGAAGTCTAAAGAGCCTGATGGGGACAGAATCGTATATACAGGAACATATGAAACAGAAGGTGTGGCCCCAACCAAGAGTGGAGAACGGCAGCCCATCCAGATCACCATGCCGGTAAGGCCTACTTGGGATTGTTGGACTGTGGTGCCAAGGCAAGTGGAAACCATGGAAAAGAAAATATGAAACATTATTTCAATTCATGGTTTCATATTCGAATATATTTGTTCATAATGTCCAAGTACAATTAATTAAATGATCCATGCTTCTCCAGTGATCAGTTTCATAGTAATTTCTTATGTGGCAAAAACTTAAGTCTCTCCCTACATTTTTGTAATCTGTTCCATTGATCTGTCTACACTTATGCCAAAGCTGCATTGTTTTAAATACATTGCTTTTACAGTACGTGTTTGTGTATTTTGTAATTGGTCACCTTACTGAACTTGCTTACTAAAATTCTTCATTCGATCTTGGGTTTTTCAGGTAGACAGTCATAATCTACATATAATTGTGTCATTTTTTGATTTTTTTTTCTGGCCTTCCTGCATTGGCTAATGTTTCTAGAATAATGTTGCCTACTAATAGTGGTAATCCTTGTCTCCAGGGTTTCACTGTTAGATACAATGTTAGTTTCAAATATTTATTATGTTAAAGCATCCTGTTTCTAGTTCACTAAGAGGTATTTTTTTTTAATTGGGAGGTGTGTTGAATTTCTTCTAATTCCTTTTCCCATCTACGGAGGTAGTTTTTCTTCTTTGATATATTAATGGAATAAATATAAAATATACTTTGAAATACTAAACTTCCATTTATTTCTTAAAATAAACCCTACTTAATGTCATTTATTATTTGTAATATGCTAATATTTCATTTAGGGTTTTAAAATTTTTGTTTGTTTGGTTGATTTATCGGCAAATATATAAGGATTTCCTATATATATCAGGCACTGGGAGAAGAGTGGTGAACAAAATAGATATCCCTGGCTTCATGGGGCTTCTTATCTAGAGGAGGAAAACATACTTTATACATGATTATCAATAATAAAGTAGATAATTGTTATTAGACAAAATGTACTGAAACAGTAGTGGTACCCTTGGGATATATACCAGGGGTCTTAGTCTAGCTCAAGATTTAGGGGATGGCTTTCTTGAGAAAGAACTAAAGATATGTAAGAGTTGAGGGAAGAGGGAGCATTTGAGGAAAAAGGAGGTACAAGGATCAACAGCTGGGGGACAGCAGAATGTGTTTCAATGAATGAGTAGAAGCCCTGTATAGCTGGAGCAGACAATGAGGCAGAGACTGACTCAAGAGTAAGACGGAGTTAACACAACATTGTAAATCAACTATACTCCAATAAAAATTTTAAAAATTAAAAAAAAAATAAAGATTAACCTGGAGAGGAAAGTAGGGTTTAGATGTTACAGGACCTTCTTTCCTTATTGAATTTATCTTAATGCCTGTGGGAATTCATTGAAGGTTTGTAAGTCAACTTTGATAAGCAATTTACATACAAATTGTATGTAAATACATTAATACACCAATTTAAAGTATTCAGTTACATAGATTTTAACTACTGTATAATCACCACCCCAACAAAAATATAGAACATTTCTGTCATCCCAGAAAATTCCTCCAGGCCCATCTGTAATCGATGGCCCCAGGCTTAGCCCTCTCTGACCTTTTTGTCTCAATAACTTAGTTTTAACAGTTCTAGAATTTCATGTAAATAGAATCGTAGCATTGTGTCTGACTTCTTTCACTTAGCATAATGTTCTTGTATAACGTCATTGTAGCATAAGTTGTCACGTAAATAGTTGGTTCCTTTTATCACTGAGTAGTATTCCATGGGAAGGATATACTACATTTGATTTGTCCCTTCGCCAATAAATGAACAGCTGGGGTGTTTTCAGCTTTTGAGGTTATGAATAAAGTTGCTATGAATATTTGAGTATGAGTTTTAGAGTGAGGATGTTTTCATTTCTGTTGAGTAAATACCTAAGAGGAGATTCAATGAGTCACATGGTAAGTACATGTTTAACCATATAAGAAATATCCAGACTGCTGTACCATTTCATATTTCAACCAGCAATGTATGAGAATTCCAGTCACTTTACATAATTATATATCAATCTTTTAAATTTGGAAATGCAAAAGACGTAGAAGAGCCCAAACAATTTTGTTTCATGGTCTATAATGTAGTCTTTAAATCAGATAGCCTAAATCTTCCCTCTTTGTTTACTCAGTTATTTTGACTATTCTAGGCCCTTTGCATTGTTATATAGATTTTAGAATGAGCTTGTCAATTTCTCCCAAAAATGGGGTATTAATTGGGTTTGCATTAAATCTATATGCCAGTTTGGAAAGATTTGACACTTTATTATTGAGCCTTCTGATACATGAATATATCTGCCTATTTAGGTTTTCTTTAATTCCTCTCTATAATGTATTACAGTGTTCCCTGTACAGATTTTATACGTACTTTGTTAAATTTACCATTAAGTATTTCATATTTAAATGCTACTATAAATGGTTTATTACTAGTATGTAGAAGTAAAATTGATTTTTTTCTATACTCATCTAGAATCCTGAGGCCTTGCTGATTTCACTTATTAGTCCTAATAGTTGTTCGGGATTTTTTTTGGTAGAATCCCTAAGCTTTTCTATGTATGATACATTTTTTTAAAAATATTTATTTATTTATTTTTGGCTTCAGCGGGTCTTAGTTGTGGCACGTGGGCTCTTCGTTGCGGCTGGGCTCTGTAGTTGTAGCGCACGGACTTAGTTGCCCCATGGCATGTGGGATCTTAGTTCCCCGACCAGAGATCAAACCCGCGTCCCCTGCAATGGAAGGCAGATTCTTAACCACTGGACCATCAGGGAAGTCCCTCATTAACATTTTATTGAGGATTTTATATCTGTGTTCCTGAGGAATATTGGTCTATGGTTTTCTTTTCTTGTCATTGTCTGGTTTTTGGTATCAGAGTAATAATACTAGCTGCATAAAATTATTTGGAAAGTTGTTCACTCTACTGTTTTCTGGAAGAGTTTGTATAGAATTAATATTATTCTTATTTAATGTTGGATAGAATTCACCAATAAAAGCATGCATTTCACTTTGTCTAAAGGTTTTTAGTTACAAATTCAATTTCCTTAATTGATATTGGGCTATTCAGGTTTTATTTCTTGAGTTAATTTTTTTAATAAATTTATTTTTGGCTGCATTGGGTCTTCGTTGCTGCACGCGGGCTTTCTCAGTTGCAGCGAGCGGGGGCTACTCTTCGTTGCGGTACACAGGCTTCTCATAGCGGCGGCTTCTCTTGTTGCGGAGCACGGACTCTAGGCGTGAGGGCTTCAGTAGTTGTGGCACGCAGGCTCAGTAGTTGTGGCTCGTGGGCTCTAGAGCACAGGCTCAGTAGTTGTGGCGCATGGGCTTAGTTGCTCTGTGGCATATGGGATCTTCCTGGACCAGGGCTCGAACCCGTGTCCCCTGCATTGGCAGGTGGATTCTTAACCACTGCATCACCAGGGAAGTCCCTTGAGTTAATTTTTGTAATTGGTCTTTGATATCATTCATTTATTTCAATTAAATTGTCAAATTTGTTGGCACAAAGTTGTTGGTAATAATCCTCCACCATACTTTGATGTCTTAGGATCTCTAATGATGTCCACTCTTTCATTCTTGATATTAATAATTTGCCATTCCCCCCCCCCCACCAACCAGTCTAGCTAGAGATTTATCAATTTTATTGGCTTTTTCAAAAACGCAGCTTTGTGTTCATATGCTCCACTGGCCTATTTTTCTGTTTCATTGATTTCTGATCCTAACTTTTTTTAAAGTTAGTTTTTATTTGTATGTTTGTTTGTTTGTTTATTTATGGCTGTGCTGTGTCTTTGTTGCAGCGCATGGGCTTACTTGTGGTATGTGGGATCTTAGTTCCCCGACCAGGGATCGAACCCAGCTCCCCTGCTTTGGGAGCCTGGAGTCTTAACCACTGGACCATCAGGGAAGTCCCCTGATCCTATCTTAATTATTTATTTCCTTCTTTTGTTTGCATTAAGGTATTTTAATTGAGGCTATACACACACACATATACACACAGAGTAAAATGATCTCTTTGTATATTGTACAGTTCGGTTTTCCATAGTTGGACTATATGCACTGAAGTGTGCATTTCTTTGAATCTTTTCTTCTTGGGGCTCACTGAATTTCTTGAATCTGTAAGTTAGTGTTCTTCCAAATTTGGGTATTTTTAACTGTTATTTTGTTTCAAATTTCTTTTCAACTTTATTCTTTTCTTGTAGTTCCTCAATTACACATTGGACAGCTTGGTATTATCCCACAGATCTTTACAGTCCTGTCCAGTTTCCTAAAAGAAAAGAAAATTGGTTGTTCAAATTAGATCATTTCTATTGATGTATACCTCAAGCTCAGTGATGTTTTTTCTTCTGCCATTCCCAGGCTACTCTTGTGTTTATTTTCTGAAATTTTTTCTGTCATTGTACTTTTCAGCTCTAGAGTTTTTTATTTGTATTTTCTATAGTTTCCATCGCTCAAGATTCCCTATGTTTGCTCATTGAGACCATGTGCCCCTTTACTTCTTTGAGCATATTTATAATTGCTGGTTTGAAATACTTGTTTGGTAGATCCAGTATCTGGCCCCATTTAGAGTAGGAATGACTTTTTTTCCTGAATGTGGGTCATGCTTTCCTGTTTTGTTACATGTTTGATAATATTTGATTAGAAACTAAACATTGTAGATAATATATTATTGATTCTAGTTTCTTTTATTCTTCTGAGGATTAGTCTCTTTTTAAATTCTAGCAATTCTAGTAACATTGCTGGACTCAAACTACAAGTTCTGTCTTCTCAGCAGGGTAGCAGCTGTTATCTCTGCTTAATTTTTTTTCAACTTCCAGTTGCTGCTTTTCTAGCCTGGTTCCCTTGTTCCAGTGGAGTTTAGCAGTCAGCCAAGGAATTGGACAGTTTATACTAAGATTTTGGGATCCATCCACCCTGAGGTTTCTCTAAATTTCCAGCTGCTCTGCCAGTCCTGAGCCCTTTGCTTTGATACTTTCAAACCAGTAAGACTCCAACTTCTCAGGTTTGGGAACGCATT